AGATAGATAGATAGATAGATAGATAGATAGATAGATAGATAGATAGATAGATAGATAGATAGATGGGCGGATGGATAGATGAATGGATCGAAAGATATTGATAAATTAATAACTAGAAAACCATATGGATGGATGGATGGATGGATGGATGGATGGATGGATGGATGGAAGGACGGACAGACAGATGGATGAATGAAAAGAAAGATGGATGGATGGATAAATAGACAAACACAGATAGATGGACGGGTGGATAGATGAATAGAAGGAAAGATATATTCCTTCTATTCAATAAATAGAAACCCATATTGACTGATGGATGGATGGATGGATGGATGGATGGATGGATGGATGGATGGAAAGACGGATGAAACGATGGAATAGATGGATGGACGGACAGATGGAAGGATGAATAGATAGATAGATAGATAGATAGATAGATAGATAGATAGATAGATAGATAGATAGATAGATAGATAGATAGATAGATAGATAGATAGATAGATAGATAGATAGATAGACACAGACAGACGGACGGACGGATGGAAGGAAGGAAACATGGATGGATGGATGGATGGATGAATGGATAGATAGATAGATAGATAGATGGCTAAATAGACAGACACAGATAGATGGGTGGATGGATAGATGAATGGATGGGAAGATATTGATAAATATCTAAACCCATATAGATGGATGGATGGAAGGACGGACGGACAGATGGATGAATGAAAAGAAAGATAGATGGATGGATGGATGAATAGATAGACAAACACAGATAGATGGATGGGTGGATAGATGAAAAGAAGGAAAGATTTATTCCTTCTATTCAATAAATAGAAACCCATATTGACTGATGGATGGATGGAAGGACTAAAGGATAGATAGATAGATAGATAGATAGACAGACAGACAGACAGACAGACAGACAGACAGACAGACAGACAGACAGACAGACAGATAGATAGATAGATAGATAGATAGATAGATAGATAGATAGATAGATAGATAGATAGATAGATAACTGGATGGAAAGATATTGATAAATCAATAAATAGATACCCATATTGACTAATGGATGGATAGATAGATGAATGGACAGACGGGCGGAAGGATGGATGAATAGATAGATGGATGAATTCATAGGGTGGATGGATGGACGGACAGATGAATGGATGAACAAAGACTGATCAATCGATACACAGACAGACATGGATGGATGGATGAAAGAATAGATAGATGGATGGATAGATATACAAACAGAGACGAACAGACAGATAGATTGATGGAAAGATGGATAAATCAATCAATAGATAGATAGATATTCACATCCATATGGATGGACGGACGGATGGAAGAATAGATCATTCAGTGAGTGATACAGAGCTGTAATGGGCTGAAAACCTGCTGGAACTACTTTAGCTGTGCCTTTATCTGGCACTAACACCTCAGAGTGCTCATCAGCCAATCAAAATCAAGCTTTCAGCAGCCCTGTGGTATAATTAATATAAGGGAACGGTCAACTTCTGAAAGGGCTTTTCAAATCAGTGCCGCTGACTTCACAAATCAGCGTTTTACTGCCCGTCTGCACCCTACTAACCTCATTCATCTCCAGATTCAGAGAGGACAAACAGTGGTCTCTGCTTCAGACACGGCTGTGGCGATATTCAGGATGGATCCATTTTGTTTTGTTATATAATGCGTGCATCCGTGCTTGCGCTCATGTACACATCACAGAGCCATGAGCTGAATGCTGCGGCGTCTGGTCAGAGCTGCTGGCTAGTAAATGTAACAGGATGATGATGAGGTTTATTGACTCCATGTGAAGTCATGCATACAGGGTCAAAAATTAACATTTCACCATGTCTGCCAATGGCGTGTGAAATTTACCATGCATAAATTATCTTTACAGCACCATTAAACTGTGCTTTGCAGTGTTATATTTAAAGAATATACAGTATAAGACAGAATTAGTTTTTTTTTTATAAAAAATACTAATATTCTATAATAACAGAACATTAGTATTAGGGGGCTAATATTCTAATTCTGGCTTCAATTATATACACTCACCGGCCACTTTATTAGGTACACCTTACTAGTACCTGGTTGGACCTCCATTTGCCTTCAGAACTGCCTTAACCCTTCATGGCAGAGTTTCATCAAGCTACTGGAAATATTCCTCAGAGATTTTGCTCCATATTGTCATGATAGCATCACACAGTTGCTGCAGATTTGTCGGCTGCACATCCATGATGCCAATCTCCCGTTCCACCACATCCCAAAGCTGCTCTATTGGATTGAGCTCTGGTGACTGTGGAGGCCATTTGAGTGCAGTGAACTCATCGTCATGTTCAAGAAACCAGTCTGAGATGATTGAGCTTTATGACATGCTGCGTTATCCTGCTGGAAGTAGCCATCAGAAGATGGAGACACTGTGCTCATAAAGGGATGGACATGGTCAGCAGCAATACTCAGGTAGGCTGTGGCGTTGATGCTCAATTGGTACTAATGGACCCAAAGAAAATCTCCCCCACACCATTACACCACTACCAGCAGCCTGAACCGCTGATACAAGGCAGGATGATCCATGCTTTCATGCTGTTGAGGCCAAATTGTGAGCCGAGCATCTGAATGTGTCAGCAGAAATGGAGACTCATCAGAGCAGCAACGTTTCTCCAATCTTCTATTGTCCAGTTTTGGTGAGTCTGTGTGAATTGTAGCCTCAGTTTCCTGTTCTTAGCTGACAGGAGCGGCACCCGGTGTGGTCCATAGAGGCGGCAGAATAGAGAGGGCGGCATCTGCAACATCTCCCTCACCACCCACGTCCTCAGTTTTTTCCGCGCATAGGGCGGCAGAATAGAGAAAGCAGCGTCCACGACACCTCCCTCACCACCTGCGTCCTCAGTTATCACCCTATCAGTTACATTTATATATATATATATATATATATATATATATATATATATATATATATATAAATGTAACTAATATATATATATAAATGTAACTAATATATATATATAAATGTAACTAATATATATATATATAAATGTAATATATATATATATATATATATATATATATATATATATATATATATATATATATATATATATATATATATATATAAATACTTTTAGGGAGGGTTTACCTTTATTTGGAAAGGACAGTAGAGCTTGCAGACAGGAAAGTTTTGGGAGCAGAGAGAGGGGAAGAGTCAGCAGGGACCTTGAGCCAGGAATTGAACTCAGGTCGCCGTGAGCACCATGGTGCTATATGTTGGCACACTTAACCACTAGGCTATTGGCGCCAACATAATTTTTGCTTTTGGTAAGTGTTAAATCTAGATTCTGCCTTAGATACATTAGATTTGCCTCATGTCCAGGAGTTTTTTATGCATGTTTTGTAATTGTAGTACTGTAAAAATGTTTAATTTCTGTCTGTACTCACCTTATTCCTTGCGTACGAGTGGGCACAGCCATTTGAATCTTTTTGGCTTGATTCTTCTGCTCTCATTCACTTCTATTCATTTTTAGACGTTAAAAACAGCTCGTTTTGCTGCTTAATGTTGCAAACTGACATTTTCGTATTATATTATTCTACTTGGTCTGTATAGTCATGCACATACTGGTTTACAGAGTAAGTAGTTTGACCGTTTTCTGCCGTTTAATATTCCTGGTCCTTTCTCTTATCGACAACTAGATTGGAAGATCTAAAACAATCGCAAAAACGAGTGCACTTCCTTCCGCATTGAACAATATATGTCAATATATGCATGCAAATCTCAAAAATGATGTTGTTTTAGCCTTAAATTGGGCCAAATATGGTTATTTTTTAAATTTATTCATTCATTCATTTTCCGTTCAGCTTAGTCCCTTTATTAATCCGGGGTCACCACAGCGGAATGAACCGCCAACTTATCCAGCACATTTTCACACAGCGGATGCCCTTTCACCCACAACCCATCTCTGGGAAACATCCACACACACGCATTCACACTCATACACTACGAACAGTTTAGCCTATACTTAATTCACCGGTACCGCATGTCTTTGGATTGCGGGGAAAACCGGAGCACCCGGAGGAAACCCACGTGAACGCAGGGTATTTTTTAGTTATGAAATTTAAATTACATTTTTAAGCACAACTGGGTTGGGTTCATCCATATTTGACCCAGTGTTGGGTTAAAACAAACCCATCATTTTTATTGTGTGTATTAGAACGTTTGGCTGATATGTTATTTTCCTGGATCATATCGGAGCACTTGCCACCAGCACTTCAAACGGAGACTTTTCAGGTTCTTATTATGTTATTCAGCACAGATAAATGTGTGTTTGCGGTAGTCTTTGCCCTCAGCGAGAGCGACAGAACAGTTTGTTAGTAGAGCAGATCGGGAATGATTCAGTCCCGCGGGAGGGATGAGAAGGGGGGGGGGGGGGGGTGTCAGAGAGAGAGAAAGTGAGATAGAGGCAAAAATAGAGGCATTATCACGATGCACAGAGATGTATGATTTGTTTTTAATCATCTGGTGTTGATTAATTTAGCGGTAATGGGGGCTGTTTTTAGATAATGCAAGCATGTAATAACATTTCACATCTTTAAGCTTTATCCCAACTGGCTTACATTGCATTCGAGATGATGCATCGTTTTGTTTTTAATATGAATATCTATTATTCTGTGTAGATGTGTGCAGGTTTGACCTGTAGCCAAGAAAGAAAGACTTTAATTCATGTTTGACTTTAAAATATGTCTCGTCTTGGTGATGTTCCTTCATTATTGCATATGATAATCCATGTGGAGGTGATGGTGACAGCTTTATACGCATGGATGGTAATCTCTGGGATTAGAGTTTTGGCCTTTTCCGAATAAACTAAAATGTTGGTGACGGAGCCTTCAGAAGGAACACTCACACACACACACACACACACACAATCACACACACAATCACACAGCGCTCTCTTGAATATCATTTCATTTCACACTTTCTTGCTTTCTCTTCACAGGATTTACTCACCCTCCAGATGGATGTTGTATAGACACTGAATCCTTTCTGCTTACTGTCATCCCGCTAACCGACTTGGAGACACACACACGCGTGCGCATGCGCTCTTTGGCACCGAAAACCGAGGCGCGATGCGTTTTGACATGTCACGCGCGCCCGCAAAAAAAGAAGAAAAAAGCCCGCCCGCTTAATCCCGCGGTTTGGGATTGGGCGGGAAGACTCGGCTGAGGAAACACGGGATTGGGTGGATTGAAGAGTCTAACCGCTGCTGTGACTCAGATGAGGAGATGAATCTACATCACTTCACTTTACCTCAGCTGAAACTAGCGGACGGACTGTCAGGGGAAAAAAGAGTTTTTCCTCTCAATACAGTTGGATTAATTGGAATTAATAGCAAATTTGGACAAACAGTTCGAGTGTTAAGCAACATTACACTATTTAACGATGGCTTTTATGGTGAAACACGTAGTCGGAGGTCATCTGAAGAATCTGACAGGAGGTCTGACAGAAGAGAAACCTGAAGGGGAGAAATCTGAAGCTGCGGCTAAAGGAATGACACAAGAAGAGTTTGAACAGTACCAACAGCAGCTAGAGGAGGAAAAGTAAGACGACAAACCTTGCTTCCTACCTGACATTAGCGTATATCTCGAAGGTTTGTGGATGTGGTGGTATTTTGAGGCTGTGTGTTTGTGTGTGTGTGTGTGTGTGAGGCGAGTGAGCGGGCAGCGCGCGTTTGGAGGAGCGCGCGCATTTTTCGCGCTTCGTTGGAAATAAAGCGCGGGCTCGCAGCTGCTCATTTCGCTCAGGGAGATTCCTGCTCAGTCAGATATTAATAATAATCCACATTACTCACATCCACATGAATGTTTACATTTTAATTTGCGAATAATAATTCGGTCAAGTTGCTTCAAGGTAAATTATGCTTTTGTTCATGTAAATGAGGTATTCGAGAACAGTCAATCGATCATCGTTACATTCAAAGTTTACAAAACAGAAAGTCGTGGTTTATTTTAGACTATGTATTATATTAGTACATCTGTTGAACTGATTCATTGCTGTGCGCTTTATTAAATCGACTCGTATTGACTCAATAAGGCTGACGCCTCAGGTAAAATGATTATAATTAGTATTTTACTCCAGTTTCACTGTATCTTCAATCAAATCTTCCATTTAGGACAGATAAGTCACATTGACTTGACCTCTTTGAAAACTGAGATTTCCAAATTAATCCAAAAACCTATAATCTAACAATCTTATCGTGATTTGGCATAATTGCGATTTTACTAATTTCATTATATTCCCAAACAAATCTCTTGTTTAGTAGTGAGTCTTCTTCGAAAACACTATTTGAGATCTTACTAATGGGAAAAAGCTAAATATAAGGTTATATAATTATTAAATTACGACATATAACACTACAGTTCACTGCATCCTCAATATCATATAAATAAATCCACTTATGTAAATATTTTAGAGGAAAGAAATACAGGAAGTCTAATAAAATGACACTGGTTATCCTTCAAATCATGAGCAAACATAATTTATATTATACCCCAGTTGCATTTCATCCCCAGTCAAATCTCCCCTGTTCATTATAGATGAATTAAATTGTCTTCCTTTAAAATATCCTTTGATATTTTGAGTAAAACTAATAGGGGGAAAACTAAATATGAGGCTCTTATAACCACCGTATCCTGATCATGCACTGCAGCCAAACAAAAATAAAATCTGCTTATTTCACACGCTTTGTCATTAGATATCAGCTCATACAGGACTGACATGAACAGGTGGCTGAGTTGACGCCGTTTGCAAAACATGCCATATTTGGAAAATTGTGATTTCACAGACTTCAAATGGCTGTGCCGAGCTCATCCTCATGGTGGTAATCCAACTCATATCCTCCGAGAGCAGATTTTACACGCCGAGAACAGCTAGTTTAAGAGCGCTGACTTTGACAGGCAGTCGTGTGGTTAATCTCTTGAATCAGCCAAACCACTGTGATCTCCTCAAAGGTTTTTGCTGGTTATTGATACGGGGATTATCTTAACTAGTTCTTTGTTATAGTGAACTGAGTGCATGAGCATCAGAAGACTGTGTAAATCTCTCTCGCTCGTGCTCTTATTCTCTAAGCACTCATTTTGGCAGCTGCTTTTCACTGAAGTGCTTAATTTAAAGGCATAGTTCACCCAAAAATGAAGATTTCCTGTTAATTTACTCACCCACAGGTCCTTCAAAATATGTAGGGGACTTTTCATCTTTAGTAGAGCACTAAAGCAGATTTTGGGCTGAATTCGTGGTGTTTGGTGCTTATATAATAACAGTAAACAGTCACAGGTTTTTTAAATTAACAATTAATTAACAATACAAATGAGTCCTAATGAATAGGCGTGGCTCCTGATGGCACACTGAAGCCTTGCAAAGTGAAATGATCCCTCTGTGTAAGAAATTGAACATTATTTACAATATTATTAGCTTTAATCTGCAGCCTGGTCAAACAGTTCTCGTCTCATGTGTTAATGTAGTCTGATTGTAGTCCGTTGGTTTTAATGACGAAAGCATGAGGGCGTGTGATTGGACGGGAGGTCAGGTGATGCAGTTTGTTGATAGTTATTGATGTATTACAATAGCAACTGGACTACAGTCAGTGCTTAATTTGTAGATGAATAATTTCTGGAATGGGGCAGCATGGTGGCGCAGTGGGTAGCACTGTCACCTTATAGCAAGAAGGTCGCTGGTTTCAGCCCTAGCTGGGTCAGTTGGCATTTCTGTGTGGAGTTTGCATGTTCTCCCCGTGTTGATGTGGGTTTCCTCTGGGTGCTTCGGTTTCTCCCACAGTCCAAACATATGCACTATAGGGGAATTGGGTAAGCTTTCCAATGACTCGTTGCAGCTGGAAGGGCTTCAGCTTCCATGCTGGATAAGTTGGTGGTTCATTCCCCTGTGGCTGATTCCCTGATTAATAAAGGGACTAAGCCAAAAGAAAATAAATAAATAAATTATCTTTATTTATTTATAATTTGGTCAGGATTTGGTTCGGTAGGCTACAAATAAATAATTTGTTATGAACATTTTAAATATTCATAAATAACTAATTTACTGCTGCCTACGTCAACGATGCCATCGTCCATTGCAATGTTTTACATTAGACATCGTCTCATGCCGAATTAGTCAACATCATCCAACCCTAATATATATATACTTGACTGCCTCTGGCATTTTGAAAATACAACTATTATTTAGAAAGGCCACTATGCCATTATTTATTTTCGATGCTCACTTCGTACAAAACATTAATCACTAACCAATGAGAGTAATTGTAAATGTAAGAAAGCTGATTGGTCAAAAGTGACTACCTTTATGTGTGTGAACACACAATCAACACAGCTTTGCTCGCTGTCTTTGCTTGCTGCACAACAATAAAACCCCACACCCTGCTCAATATTTCGCTTCAATAACAATGTTTGCATGGACTTTCAGTCCTTTAGGGCGGGACTATCTGTCGTTTAGGGCCTGACAATCTGTCATTTAGGGCAGGACTATCAGTCATTTAGGGCGGGACTATCAGTTCTTTAGAGCAATGGTTCTCAAAGTGGGGGTCGGGACCCCCTGAGGGGTCGCGGGACAATGAAGGGGGGTCGCCTGTTGATTTCCAAAAATTGATTTATTTTTATTAAACCATAAGTATTACCATATTTTATCCATAACCTACTGAAGAGAAAAAAATAGTCGTTTATACCATATATAGTTACTATAGTAGCCTTATAGTTACTACTTTTATTGGATTGCAACCCCTGGGGTATTAAAGTTATATTAAAATTATTAAAATTATATTGAAATTATTATTATTATTAAAATGATATTAAAGACACAGCAATAGCGTCAGATGCAGCAGATTTCATAACACCCGGTTAAACTTTGTGGCCCATTTACAGCTCTCATACATTAAAAAAATTAAAAGAAGAATAGACTTGGGTCCATTGGTGTGTGTGTGCCATTGCATGCAAGGTTTCTGTATTCATGACCACCTCAAAGGATAATAGGGGTCGCGAGTCACTGGCATTGTCATTTTGGGGGTCGCGGCCTGAAAAGTTTGGGAACCCCTGCTTTAGAGCAGGACTATCAGTCGTTTAGAGCAGGACTATCCTTTGTTTAGGGCGGGACTATCCGTCGTTTAGGGCGGTACTATCCGTCGTTTAGGGCAAGACTATCAGTTCTTTAGAGCAGGACTATCAGTTATTTAGGGCGGGACTACTATCAGTCGTTTAGGGCGGGACTATCAGTCGTTTAGGGTGGGACTATCAGTTCTTTAGAGCAGGACTATCAGTTATTTAGGGCGGGACTACTATCAGTTGTTTAGGGCGGGACTATCTGTCGTTTAAGGCGGGACTATCAGTCGTTTAGGGTGGGACCATCAGTTCTTTAGAGCAGGACTATCATTCATTTAAGGCGGGACTATCCATCCTTTAGGGCGGGACTATCCGTCAATTAGGGTGGGACTATCAGTCGTTTAGGGTGGGACTATCAGTCGTTTAGCGCAAGACTATCAGTCGTTTAGCGCAAGACTATCAGTCATTTAGCGCAAGACTATCAGTCTTTTTCACTTGAAGTCATTAACATTTTGTCACATACACACATTGAGGTATTCATCATGCAAAAGGTAATGCTGGATCAAATAAATACCAGAACGTAAATCACGAATATCTTCGGCAAGATCTGGCTCAAATTAAGCACTGAGTGCAGTTGCACATGCACTGAGGACTGTTTGACCAGGCTGTGGATTAAAGCTAATAATAATGTATAGATTCTTACACAGACTGATCGTTTCACTTCACAAGACCTCATCAGGAGCCAGGGCTATTGATTTGGACTCATTTGTATGTGTTTATTTTAATAATCTTTTTTTGTTTATTTAATATTGTAAACCTGTCACCATTCTCTGCCATTATATCAATCACCAAGAGCCACAGATTCAGCTCAAAATCTCACCTACATCTTGGATGACCTGTGGGTGAAATATCTCTTTTAGGATGGATCTCACAAGTAAATCTAACTAGTTTATGTATTGTCAGAAAAGCTGCTAATTCGTTCAAATAAGTTGAGTTCGTTTGTAAGAAATTAATATTTAAAAGGAGGCGTGCCTCAAAGCCTCACCCCTAAACCTACACGTCATCGTTGGATGAGCAAATCGTACTAAAATATACATTTGAGATTGTAAAAATTTTTATGCATTAACCTTTATATCAAATTGCGTTGGAATAGCCAACAGCTCCTGCCAATGTTGATCAGTTCATCAGAAAATGTGTAATGCATTGAAGGCATAGTTCACCCAAAAAAATTGTTTACTCACTTTTAAGTGGCTCCATATCTTTATGAGTTTCTTGAACACAAGTGAAGAATGTTAGAAGCCATCAACATCAAAATACTATGGTAATCAAAGGCTATTGATTTCAAACATTATTTTAAAAAAAGAGCTTAATTTGTGTTCAAAATGAAAAAGAAACCCAAACAAATCGAGTAAACGATGACAGAATTTAAATTTTGGGGTAAACCTTGCATTTAAGTGCATCACTGTACACACAGTCTGTGTATGTTTCTCTGCCAT